TTTTTTTTTTTTTTTTTTTTTTTTTTTTTTTGGTTTTTGTCCATCATTGTCCATCATCTTCAGCATCACCATCACCATCAAAACCAGCAGCAATAAAAGCAGCAACATAGGCATCAGTAGCATCATCATCATCATCGTCTTCATCTTCGTCACCACCATTGTTGCCGTCAGTTTCTGTTGAAGATTTTATTTTTTTGAACATACACAAAAGCATATATATATATTTTTGTTTAATTTGGCATAACGCCACCTTCAATAAATATTTGCGAATTTACCTTATCGCCCATTTCTTGTTTACTTGTGAGAAAAAAAACATTATTAACAAGAATTGAAAAAGTAAGAAGAAGAAAAAAGTAGCAAACGAAGAAACAACAAAAAAAGAAAAAAAACTTTTAAGAAATCTGTGATAAGATGGCAAAAAAAATAAAAAAAAAAAAGGGAAAACATTTACATTTTTAAGGAGAAAATTTAAAAAACAAAGTTATATTTGAAGAAGAAAGTAAATAAATAAATTAAATACATCATAGCATTTTCTTCAGTCTTTTTTTTTTTGCAACAGACTAGTTCTTGCTATGTTCCCCTATTAAAATTTATGTTCTGTTTTAGTGGGATAAAAAAAAAAAAAAGAGAAAAAAAGGTGAAGAAAAAGTTGACATAAGATGTAAACTAAAATTTTTTTTATTTATTTATTTTTTTAATTATTATTCTTTAAAAAATAATAGGTATTGAAAAATATTTATGATTTACAGTAAGGAAAAAAATTAGGAAAATTCTTGCAGACAATAATACTTCTTTTTTTTTTATTCTCACCTAATTTTGCAAATATCTCTATCATAAAATTTTTATCAACTGATCAACTAACTAGCTGACCAACAACTAACTGATTTAACTACATGACTAAATAACTAAATAACTAGTTATCTAGCTAGCTAGCTAGCTAGATAACTAGCTAACCAGCTAAGCATCTAATCAACCATCTAGACAACCACTAACAAACCAGTCCAGGCAACCAACCGGCAATAGATCAACAAATAGATTAACTAATTGATTCAAATACCTACTGTTCTAACTTTCTTCAAACGATTTCCCTTACAACTAACCGGAAGAGTTGCTGGTATTGGGTAAAACTGTAGCTGTACGAGCGAGCGTTCTGAGGGTTTGGTATCAGTTTTTGGATTGATCGCTGTGTTGCTGGAGGCGGCATTTGATTTTGGCGTTAATTGATTGTGAGACTTTGTGCTATCAGTACTGTTTTTGACGTATAGTTGGCTGTGTATCGTTCTGCGGATAATCTTAGGTGCTTTCGTTTTTTTTTTATTATTGTTAGTGTTACTATCAATATTTATTGTTATAGATGTTTTTTTTTCAATTTTGTAGGTTTCCTTTTACTTCGTTTAATTTCTCATTGTTCTTTTTTACTATTACTACCGCTAGTACCGTTTTTGTTCCTCTTTTTCATTGGTAATTTTTACATTTGTAGATGGAGAGAAAGGTACTACAAAAGCGGAGAGGCTAGAAGACTGAAAAAGCATAAAATCTTTTTTTTTCTATTCTTTAAAGCAGAAATAATTATTCATTTGTTGCATGTTGGATTGAACAGTAAATCTTATAGTTGATTTCTGTCTTTTGTTAACTTTTACGTTGTGATGGTTATAGCGGTTTTTGATTGAAAAAGCTTTTTTGTCCTATTTTTTAATTTTCAATTTTTTGTTCTTCATTTTTTTGTCTTTTTTTTTTTTTCGCAGAAGTTTATCGTTGTTGCTGTTTGGAAGAATACTGTCTATTGCTGTCGTTGATACGGTTGTTGTTGTTGTGTTTGAACAGAGAGTTCTGTGCGTTATTCCATTCATCTCAATAGTTTCAAATAATACAAAAAAAAAAAGAAAAAAAAAGGAACAAGTTCCTAAATAATGTTGTTTAAGAAAGGAGAGAAATGGGGGAAGAAAAAAAAAATGAAAAAAAAAAACGGTTTTTTTTTTTTGTGTATTATATTATTTTATACTGTTGTGTATGTTGGGAGAGTTTTTTTAGTCTGTTTTTGCCATTCGTTACCGTTATAACGTAGAAACCTTTTTTACTTATATTTTTTTTTACATTCTAATATTTTCTCTGTTTTATTGTCATAGGAAATGATCGCTAAGCTTCGGCGAACAAGTTTAATTTTTTCTACTCGTTCTGTTCTTTTTTTTTTTTTTTTTCTAGATTGCTTTGTCGGTACTTCGATGATCTTTGTCTTTTTTATGTGCTCATTTCGCTATTTTTTCATGAAGTTCGTCTGAAGGCGTCGAAATATTAAACGAAAGAAAATGTGTGAACAAAAAAAAAAAAAAACTTTCAAACCGTCTTCATCTTATTTTTTAAGGCATCAGTAAGGCGGAAGATAATGAAACTGAATGTTGCAAATTGAGAATACTCAAACGGAAAACATGATGCGGGTTGAAGGCCAACATTTCTCAATGCCTCCGCACGCTCAGGTACTTATTTCTTTTTCAATTTTTTTTTCACTTCTTCTTTTTGCAGAATGTTTTTAGTGTTTTATACTTTTCACAAAGACTGGGTGAATACTGATTATTACTGATTTTAGCAATGCGGTGTCTAGTTTTTTTTTTACTTCTAAAGCCTATGTTTTATTCCTGTCATTTTTCGCTGCTTGAAAACTTCTGCTTCAAACTCTTCAGTCAGCTTTCTGAATTCAGCATCTGCTTTTGGCTTCTTCAAAACATATATTTGAAGGATTATTGGCTAAAAATAAGTGGTTTTTTTTTGTTCTAGAATCAGCTCGTACTTTTCTTTTTTGAGTCAAAAGTTCAGCTGTCAGACAAGTAGGATAATAAACTGGAAGTTTCGTTTTACAAAAGTATTTCACTGTTAAATATGCAAACTATCATCCAACCAGTTTTGCTCTATAGATCTCTTTTAACCTTTTTTTAATCAAATAATTCTAGACAAAAAATTCTACAATTTCAGTATATCGTTTCTTAATGTTTGTATGAAAAAAAAAAAAGGGAACTTTTGTTTTATCTTCATTTTTTTTGGGGGGGAGTGGGGAGGGGGCAGGCGCAGTTAACTACATAGATTTATTTTTGTTGGCATCTGTAGACTGATGTTACGTAAGAACATTTTTTCTTTGATGAAT